CCCACGCCTGCCACGCAAAAGAGGCGGAGACCAAGGGACGCCAGGGCGTACATCCGACCCCTTGGCAGTGCACATTGTCCCACGCCTGCCACGCAAACAGGCGGAGACCAAGGGACGCCAGGGCGTACATCCGACCCCTTGGCAGTGCACATTGTCCCACGCCTGCCACGCAAAGAGGCGGAGACCAAGGGACGCCAGGGCGTACATCCGACCCCTTGGCAGCTCACATTGTCCCACGCCTGCCACGCAAACGAGGCGGAGACCAAGGGACGCCAGGGCGTACATCCGACCCCTTGGCAGTGCACATTGTCCCACGCCTGCCACGCAAACGAGGCGGAGACCAAGGGACGCCAGGGCGTACATCCGACCCCTTGGCTGCTCACATTGTCCCACGCCTGCCACGCAAAAGAGGCGGAGACCAAGGGACGCCAGGGCGTACATCCGACCCCTTGGCAGTGCACATTGTCCCACGCCTGCCACGCAAAAGACGCGGAGCCCGAGGGACGCCAGGGCGTACATCCGACCCCAGTGCACATTGTCCCACGCCTGCCACGCAAAAGACGCGGAGCCCGAGGGACGCCAGGGCGTACATCCGACCCCTTGGCTGTGCACATTGTCCCACGCCTGCCACGCAAAAGACGCGGAGCCCGAGGGACGCCAGGGCGTACATCCGACCCCTTGGCTGCTCACATTGTCCCACGCCTGCCACGCAAAAGAGGCGGAGACCAAGGGACGCCAGGGCGTACATCCGACCCCTTGGCTGCTCACATTGTCCCACGCCTGCACGCAAACGAGGTGGAGACCAAGGGACGCCAGGGCGTACATCCGACCCCTTGGCGGTGCACATTGTCCCACGCCTGCCACGCAAACGAGGCGGAGACCAAGGGACGCCAGGGCGTACATCCGACCCCTTGGCTGCTCACATTGTCCCACGCCTGCCACGCAAAGCGGCGGTGAGCGTGAGTGAGTGAGTGAGTGTGAGTGTGAGGTGGGTGAGTGTGAGTGTGAGGTGAGTGAGAGTGAGTGAGTGTGTGTGAGTGAGTGAGGGTGAGTGAGAGTGAGTGTGTGTGAGTGAGTGAGTGTGAGTGAGTGAGAGTGAGTGAGTGTGAGTGTGAGTGAGGAGGAGGACGGGCGGGCGGCGGGCGGACGGAGGCGGCGGATACAGAACTAAAAACAAAAACCCCACACGTCAATGTGGGGAACAATCTCCAAGTTATGCATCAAGCAATGATTAGTAAATACCCCGATAATGGTTAGCAAATACCCTCCATAACGGTTAGGGAACCGATTGTTTAGTAAATCATGGTTGATTAGTAAATAATGGTTAGTAAACCTACCATAATGAGGTAAACCCAATACTGGTTTGTACATAGCCCCATTGGTTAACCATTCAGTCCCCATTGTTGTTGATTTGTTGATTTATTTCCATATATAAATATAATTATGATCTTTCTCCCAGGAATTAAACAAGTTCTATAAGGCAAACCTGCCAGACATCATCCCCAAGTCATCCCATTCCCTGATTTTCACCTGGGGTGTTGCAACGAAAACCACCGGGATGAACGGCAAAGTTGACAGTCAGTTATTTCACAGATACACTGTCTTCAGATATTTCAAAAAAACATTAGAATTATGTATTGGTATTTATTTCAAGGACAATTTTCAGACTGATAAGACTAAAATAAGACACATGAATCAATGCACTAGATTCACTAGATTCACTAGGCCCCATGTTTAGATGAATTCCTCGGATCTGGGTTGTTTTTACTGCCAGCATCGGGAGCATCGACAGGACGTGGCTAACACAGCATGGGTGTCAACGTCGCAGAAGTGCAGGTGAGTTCTTGCGGATCCGGTGCCGGAGATGGATCTGGGGGGCTAGAGGGTCACGGGGTGCCCCATGTTTTAAATCCAAGTGATGGGTCATTTTCAATAGGGAAACTGACAGTTTTGGGGTTTTCATGGGTTTTCCCATTTTGAGAAACTCCCATTTTGTTTTTTTTGGTGATTGATAGTGTAAGCAGAAAGTTTGCAGGTGACTTGCCATTGGAGGGTAGCAGTTCCCAACATGTTCCTCATGGCACCAGCATCAGCTCCATGGCAAAGATGCCCTTCCCACAACAGCCCTGGCTCCAATGCATGCACCACAAAGATGAGCCATTTCAACTGACTCATGTAAGTAAAATATACCCTCTGGCTATTTAACATAGCCATGGGAAATAGCCCATTTATAGAGGTTTTACCTATTAAAAATAGTGATTTTCCATGGCTATGTTAATTAACCAGATGGTAGTAGTAGTACATAAGGAGCTCCGGTAACACTCCCACTGCAAGTTCCAGCTGCATCTCAAAATTCCAGCACATGTGAACCATTGGCAGGCAGAATGAAGTCAAAATCGTGTTTCCCCTCTTTGGGATGATAGATGGCTCACATCTTCGGCGCATTTTGTCCAGTAGTTATATGTAATTATTGGTAGCTGGGTGGTTCAACCGCTTGCCCCAATCCACCAGCGCTAAGTTTCAGAGCGCCATGAGAGATTCGTGAGTCGGTGATGGGTCGTGGATCGGCATGCCACCCGCCCGCTCTGACCGCACGGCCAAGAGGTGCCAAAGGGATAGCGATGGGCATCTTTGAATCGTGTTGATCATTTTTTCAAATGTCAGGGGCACCCTCTGGTAATTTAACGTAGCGAACTGGTAAATGGGTAAATCATCATGTAAACCATTGACCATCATGTTTATCATCTCTAAATGAGGGGCTTCCAGTTCGCAAAGTGTTAAACAACCAGAGGGTAACAGAATTCCCTGGGAGGTTTGCGGAATGCACCCTCTTCACCGCTGTGGTCATTGCAGTGGCCTGGCAGTGTCTCATGAGTTGCGGGGCATCCCCCTGCTTTGTCATGTTTGGGATTTAATGTTCATCTATTGGGATAAATCATTGGATAAATATTGGGATAAATATATATTAGATAAGCATTTAATGTTCACATATTGTGAGTTAATGTTCATGGTTAAAATATGCACACACACACATATATATATACACATATCTCTGTATGTGAGTCTACATATAAAAATGTCGCATTCATTGGCATTAGATAAACATGATAAAGTGCCAAAATCATCACCTTGTTATGGGAATTCGATGGAATTCTTATATGAATTTGTTCATGGGAATGAGCTGAGAATATCCTCACCTCTTCATCCCAGGAGATTTGCACCACATTCAAACGTTGATCATGTCCCAAATGCCCGATTTTGCATCTTCCCAGATCTTCCCAGTATTCAGTCGATATGATCTCAATATGTCGATTCTTAAGATATTCCCAGATATTCCCATCCCAATCCCAGTTTCAGCTTCCCAGGTCTTTTCGCTCTTGGAGATGATGTTCGGTCAGCTGAACCCTGAAGACCTCCCAAGTGTTCCGCGTAGCTCGGAGCTACTGATGAAGTCGCTGAGGGAGCGGAGCCTCGAGAGGGCGCAGGAGGGAGGCGGTTGAAGATTTCGGATGGAGGTTTTCTGGGAAAAACTGCTTGATATTGATATTGACATTGGTATTGTACCCCAAACAGTGTGGCCACTCGTGGGGTTCTTACGGTAGGTCCCGGTAGGTGTTTCGGCCTGGTGTTCATTTGAGTTGGTCTCCGGGATGGCCGGCAAAATCGGTGACCCTTACAGCACAAGAGTTCCTTCCTCTTTTGTTTTCGAAGGAAGTCTCGCACGAAATGGTGTCCTAAGAGGGCTCTCTTGCAGAAGTCTCGTTTTACGAGCGCGCCGTGCTCGTTTTTGAGCTGTGTCCATTCTGTGTGGTTGCTAAGAGACCTCTTATGGAGATCTTGTACAGAGATCTTGCCACGAGAACTCCTGTAAAGATCTTGAACAGCGATCTTTCTTTGAGATCTCTTACAGGGAACTTCTGTGGAGACCTCTTATACAGAACTTGTACAGATAGCCGATTGCCTTACAAAGGGATCTTGCCCAGCAGCTTCTACAGAGAACCTGTCAGGGAGATCTTGCAAACGATCTTCTATAGGGATTTTCGCAAAAGAAACTTGCAGAATCTAAACTCACATCTCTTCTTGATGTTCCTTGCAACACTGTTTGGGGTCTCTTGCCAGAATATTTTTTTTTAAAACTATTTTCATTATCTAGAAGTATCAAAATCATATTCATTCATTTTGGTGCTGTCGCAGTGGCCAGGAGTCAGCTGAAGAGGATGAGGAAGAGGAGGATGTCATCCTCAGCCGTGGGAATTTCTGTGGGGGATCACCCCCTCCAAAAAAACTGTGTAATAACAACCCAACAACTTCCTGTAACAGTAAGTGCATCATGCGGGTAACGCACCGGGTTCGAGGAAATAATCAGTATAACCCCAATATTTCCAAAAATGAAGGTGTATTATCATTGAAGATTTTGTTTTGCGGAAAGGAACCGGAGAACCAAAAGTAGGTGGATGATGTGGGGAACCCAATTAATGAACCCCACTTTTGGACGGTTAACACCACCAATTTCTGGTAAAATGGGTCGTGCTTCACAACATTACAGATGTAATGCGGAAAACTTGGATGAACCTGGCGGGGCCGACCAAGAATATCAGAGACTTAAGCGGGAAAATCAGCACTGAAGATGACAAACGGTGTCAAACCAGAGGGTTGGATTTTGTTGCGCAAACCCCAAAAACAGGGTCAACAGTCAGAGAGGAGCCTCAATTTGCACATCACATTTTTTCTAATGCTTTCTATCCCTTGGCTTGGCTAATTCATTCATTTTGTTGGATCAATTCGTGCGGCCTCCCGAATTTCTTTTTCAAAAGTACTGTAGGTTGGATAAACTGGGAAAACCCTAGTTTGGTAGTTTCATTGATTGAGTTTCAACCACACATGGAATATAATATACTATCCACATCTATCCATCATCCAGCAATCAGTTTTTCTTTTCCCCAGGGCCATGGGGTGTCTCAGGCTGCAAACCAATGGTTCACTGGCAGCTTTGCATAGCCAGGCGCCACCGGCTCCAAGCCCAGAAGAGCCAGAAGCGGAGGCACAACTGCAGGCGGGATTGGTGGTGGTGGTGGTGGTGGTGGTGGTTGCACTACACTTTACGTATCTTTCTCCGGGATTTATCACGTTTTGTCATCCATGGATTTCAATGTGGGCACCGTGCAGGCCCTCTCTGAGCTGGCGCTCAAGGCTGAGGTCCGGAAACAAAAATTGGGGGACCGTGACGCAGGGCTGTGCTTCACTGTCGACTTTGGGGATACCGGGGATACAATCAATGTATATCAATGTGATCCCGCAGTGGAAGAAAGATGGTTCATGTTTGAGATGATGTGGTACATGGATGTCCTTTTCGCGCTGGTTGGTTGATTGATAGAGGGAGGTAAATGACAATAAATGGTATACCAAACCATCCCTTCAATTTTTCCCAAAAGGACAATATTGGAATCCATTAGATTCAGTCATTTCACATTCAAACCCCATCAAATCACCATATAAATCCTATATAAATCACCATTTTGCCTTGGAAAAACCCGCAGTTTCTCTCCATTTTGGGGGACGCCAAGCAGCATCCCTCTTGGTTGCTAGGCCGGTGACGCCGAGAAGGATGAGTCCAAGAAGTCTGGACGGAAGATGGACGAGTTGGTAAGTGGTTGATCCCCATAAGGGGAATACGAACATATCAAAAAATAGGAACCAATCATAGTGACCGTAGTGACCAATCATATGGGGAATATTCACATACTAATAATAGGTGAATATAATTAATAATATAATTCACCTATTATTTACAGTGTTAAAGATAGATAAACATAGTAAGCAACTGGTGGATTCTGCAACCATCCACAGTAGAACGAAGACATGTGAGCCATTAAAAATACCCTTGTTGATTGGTTACGAACTGGGGGCTTATAATTACTACCTAATTTACTGGGGATTGTGATATACTATGATCACCCGTAGTAGGGAAACCGTTTTCAACCAACTAGATAATCAGATGGGATACGGGTATTTTGAGTGGCTCATGTGTATACTACAATTATTGAGATAAATCCGTAGTTATAAGTAATGTAATGGGATATCATCGGATATTATGGATTCATTATGTTTACTGTTTATGGGTTTCTTCAAATGGGGGATCCCAAGTCACCATGGTTGTTTCAATACGAGTCGTCATGGTCATCCATGATTTGGATGATGACTGGGGGTCCCACCATTTTAGGACACCTCTATGTGTGTATTGTATATCAATCCCCAAAAAGATAGAAGTTATGGGTATAAAGGTCCCTAAGGTGCATGTCTGCACCCAGATATTCAAGCACACGAAACAACAGATAAGTGGATAGGTAGAGACTACATGCGCTTGTATATGTTGTATACATATGTATGTATATCTATATATATATACACATACACACACACACATACACGCATACACACATACCACACATACACACATACACACATACATCCATGCATCCATGCATGCATACATACACACACAGATATATATATATATTATATAATTATATATATAAATATAATTATATATATATAATTATATATATATATACACATGCGTGTATATTATACGGATGCATATGCGCTGAAATCCCTTGCGCATCAAGAGCTGCAGACAACGAGGTCCCTTTTGCACGTGACGCCTGAGCAGGTGCAGCGCTGCAGCGGTGCAGCGGGGTTTGCTGCGGCCCTTTCTTTCACCAGCCATGGGAGGATTTGAAAACGGAACCATATATCAAATATTGGGTGTATGACTGTATGATCAATATTATGGTTCATATTTGGGTATAAACAATATTGACAATAACTATTAAGTTGAAAAAAAACCACCCCAGAAGTGTTTTATCAATGTTTTATCATTGTTGTTATTCCTGACTATTATTATACTATAGCTAGTATCGTGGGGCTTGTCACATTAGTAGGGGATGGATAGGGAGGATCATCATTGTCTCTTGACAGCTCACGAGCCCCTTGCTGGCCCTGCTGGCTTGCTCAACATTGTATACTGATGTATACTGTGTACTGTATAGCATATATATATATAGTATATATATATATAGTATATATATATATGTATGCATCTATGCGTACACGATAGATCTGAATGCATTTAGAGGTTCGTCCTTGACGGTCAAACGGGACATGACCATGGACATCCAAACCTGAAAGGTGATGCTAGAAACCTTAGACTTCATCCCAGCGGATAGGACTTGGAGTTGGACAGAATCCCAATCTGCAGGGTATCCAAATGTAATCCAAGAGCAACAAATGGTTATGGGTGAAAACCTATACTATTGTATTTCGGGGAATAAGCATCCATTAACCAACTATTTTAGGGTACCATCCGGGTACGAGGGTTTTGACCCATAACCAAATAAAACCAGAATAAACAGCCAATCTCATTGCCACAACTCCATGGTGACCATGCTGTCCCCCCGCAAAAACATCTGCGGATCTGCGGCCGTGGCCGTCTCTCGAGGTGAATGCCATGCGGCGCCAGCTCCAAGAGTGGCTTCGGCAGGTGCGGTTACCGGGTTCCCAGGGTTCCATGGCGGCCGATGACTATCCCATGATTGACCATGATTACCCTCTGGTAAACTAACATAGCTATTGGAAATGGCCATAGAAATAGTGGATTTTCCCATTAAAAATGGTGGATCTTTCCATAGTTATGTTAAATTACCAGAGGGTAACCATTATTGGCCACTATTGACCATGCTGTTTTGGGATGTAACCAGGAGTTTGTTTTGGGAAACACACCTTTTGACAGGAGAAAAGTTAGTTTTCCTGGTTGAAAGTTGAAACAAACGTTTATAGACGACAGAAAAGGTTTGTTTTACAAGCCGAAACTAACGTTTTGGCGCTGCCCAAGCTGAAGAGAAACAAACGCTTCCCATGCGAAAAAGTAAGTTTCGGGGCTCGAAACAAACTTTTTGCAGAAACGTTAATTTGAAACTGGAAACTCAAAACAAACTCCGTTGGAGCTAGTTTCAAACCCTCGAGAACAAACATTTTTTCGACTAGTTTGTTTGTTTGTTTGTTTTTGAGAAAACGTTTGTTTTGGAAACGTTTGTTTTGGGTGCAGAAACAAACTATTCGACAAAGCCTTTGTTTTGGGTTGAAACAACTAACTGCCACCCTGCCAAGTTGAAAGGTTCGTTTTTCATGGGCACGGAACACTTTTGTTTCGAACAAACGTGTTGTCTGAAAAACTTTAGTTTCGAAACGTTAGTTTCCAGCAATAAACTCCGTTTCGAGCCGCGTTGCTTGTTGACAGCCACCACCCAGCTGTAGCCATCATCGTCATCGTCGCTCTTGTCCTTTTTTGTTCGTTCCTTTCCTTTGCAATTTTCTTGTGTTTCCTCTTGTCGATGTTGCTTTTGCTGTTGCTGTTGCTGTTCCTGTTCCTGTTGTTGCTGTTCTTGTTCTTGTTCTTGTTCTTGTTCTTGTTCTTGTTCTTCTTGTTGTTGTTGTTGTTGCTGTTGCTGTTGCTGTTGTCGTTGTGTCTAACAAATTTGCATGCATCGGCAACACTTTACTCAACAAAACAGTTTGAAGACATTTCACGGTAAGGCTTGCTTCGAAATATGTTCCATAACGATGCCTGCGTTGAATTCCAGCACTACTTTCCATAGCACGAAGGTCTTGCGCCAGCGACATTTTCTGCATGCAAGATTCAGCCGGTCCATACCAGGCCGGAATGCCTCGAAACACACAAGGCACCATCTAATTCCAAATCGCATTTGCCGGGTTTCGAACCTGCAATACCAAAAAAAAACTAACCAAGCGGCGACCGCAACTATTGGCTACGAGGCGGCCGCTGCAGCAGCATAAACGGTTTCGGAATGGCATCCCTTCAGCCCTGTTGGGGGGTCACGTGGGTGGGTGGAATATTCCACCCCCCCACCCCCCCAACTTCATTTTGTAGCGGATTTTGTTCAAAATGATAGGATCATCCACTTGATCTACAGGTTGCAAATGACTTGCCAATACGAAATGGAATGGTGCATCCTTGGCAAACATATCATAGTAGAGCGTGCCTAGAGAAGCTGACCGCCGTCGTCGTTTTGCATTTTTGCCGGCAAGTAAAGCAGTGCTTCGCCACGGCTGAAACAAACTTACTCCTCACCTGCCCTGGAAAAGCCCTAGTGTCGGAAACTTGCAACTGGAGTTTCGAAACTTTGGTTTTCCTGGCCGGTCTCTGAAACGTTTGTTTCCGGCCTTTGTTTCCGACCCGGAAACTAACCTTTTCCCAGGGCTCGGAAACGTTTGTTTCTCGGCCGGAAACAAACCTTTTTTCCAGAGTTTCTTTGTTTCCCCCGCCGCACCCCAAGCCAGCCAGGCCCCGGGTTTCGAAACAAACCTTTTCCACTTGAAAACCAAGCTTTTAAACTTGAGTTTGAAACTTGCTGAACCGCATCCATATTCTGACCATGATTGTCTATTATTGACTATGATTTCAGGGAATCCGACATGCTCTTCTGTTAAAACTTGGGCCGGCTATGGAAAGGGGTGACATTCTACTAAGAACACGCGCCTGAAGAGTTTAACAGATTTAACAAGGGTCATTTTGAAAAGGCAACAAATTTGCAAAGTCGTATGGAGATCGTAAAGAACACAGATTGTATGAGAGATCTCAAGATTTTGCAGGTCTATCTTGAATCTCTCGCACCAAGCGAGTCTACCAAGATCGACCCAACGAAAGGGATCAATCAGTTTAGGTCGAAGGGGCTTCTTTCGGAGGAAACTTGACGCAGGCTCTTCATCTGTTGGCTTGTGTTGGTATGTTTGATCATCTAAGATGTTTTTTTGGGTTGAAAGTAGTGTGTCTCCACTATAATTGTAAATCTTGGAAGTGCAATCCCCATGTTTTTCGGCTTAAAATCAACCACTTGTCAGGGTCACGAGTGTCGGGCCATTCAAAGAAAGTTCCGCCATCCAAATTTCTATGAACTACGTAATTATCCAGCAAATGGTGCGACACACCAGGTCGCCTGATTTGTTTATGACCATCAATTTACCTCCCCGTCTTCACTGCTCATAAGTTCACCCATGGGCTGATCATGGCTCCACATTTTTGGGTTCAGCCAGGTGGCTACGTTTCACGAGGCCATTTCTGATTCATGGGGCGTATGAGAAGGCCTAGGAGAACTATCAGAGTTAGACAAAATACAGAAAATGGAAAGACATGATAGGCATGCAATTTGGGTAGCTGATTGGTGGCTTCAGATGTCCACTTTTCCTTGGAATTTTCCCAGCTGACAAGCGTATGTGCTTATCTGTATCCGTCCAGTATGTCATATCATCATACCATTTTTTTTTCACGTCAAATATCTGGCAGCATTTGCAGTTTCACCGATATTGTAGATGCAACATCTGTGATTTCATACCTAATATCCAACATTAACAAAGATCTACATTTCGAGTACTATATATTCACATTGGATACTAGACACTATATCAATGTAGTATATACTATGAAAGTTACTATTAAATTACACACATATATATATATATAATATATATATATTATATATATAATATATACTTATATTATATAGGCATACTCATGATGTCTAATATCCAACATTCAAGTCGAAATCCTGTCCTCTACACAGGCCCCCTCCGTTGCAGGTGGAATCCTTTTCGTTGATGACGAGGTGGCAGCGATGGCACGTTTTCCACGGATTCATATTATTACTATGGTCATTCTTGAACGGTGGACACACACACAGATACATATATATATATATTAATACTAATACACAAAGTCAAATATATAAATGACCCATGGATGAATATGAACTTCATCGTTTCATATTCCTACACACCTAGGTTTAAAGAAACTTTTTGGTGTTTCTTTTAATCTGGCACGTCCGAAAACCCCAGCAACCTACAAAACCACTGCGCAAAGAAGCATGGTGGTGTTTGCCAAGACTTAACGCATCTTAACGGTCTGAAGATGATTCCCTCTTCAAAAGGTTGGAACTTTCAAATTCTCAATCTAAATGCACAGGGTCGAGTTTCCGGGCTGAAAACCCCGATGTTGGTGGCAATATGTGGCCATTTTCCTATGTATAATTTGTAATGCCAACACCGGATTAATAACCCCCCCCCACCAGGTAGGTAGGTAGGTACCTTCTGGCTAGTTTTCTTGACAACCCCTAAATAAACGCACCCTGAACCATAAAATTCTGAACCATAAAACTTTGGATATGGCTTACGTCAATTAGATCTTAATAGAATTCCATTGGATTTGTCAAAATTTCATGGATCAGAAAGGTGGTTGATTAATCAGGGGCAAACCATGGTTATTATTAATGGGGGACATGGGCTCATGGGGGGTACCCCTTTGGGAGCTATCCAAACTGATGATTTTTATAAAGATTTTAATTAGAAATCGATCATTTGGGGAATAGTTGTTTTTTGAAATTTTCAATGATCAACTTAAACCTGAAGTATAACAATGATGATGAAACAAAAAGTAAAAACCAATTGGAAATAAAAGGAATTGGAAATAAAACATGTTGGATAAAAAAATGGATTTCAGCACTGGTGGTTGATTAATCGGGGGTAGGCCCACCGGTTTATTAATCTGGGGGGACCACCTGTTTTTAAATTACATTTTTTTTTGGGGGCAATGGTGGTTGATTAATCGGGAGGGGTTTATTAATCCTCACTTGGCATAATATCTCATCCTGTCAAGTCGACTTGGCTGAAGGGAAAGTCTAGACGGATCCTACGAATCCCGGAGTCCCTTATATTTGCATAGGTCAGTGCCTCGCTTAGGCCTACGTTTTTACTCGCTTAGGACTACGTCGGTGATATATGGCTACAGTCTCAATAGAAAGATATATCGATGCATTTGAACATGATTTTAAGAGGCTTGTACATGTGTATTAGAGATGATCATCAGGACATTGTCATTGAATCATATGCTGACACATGCATATGTTTATATATATAGTATAAGTACACAGAGAGAGAGAGAGAGATATATATATATTATAAGTAGAAGTAATACAGGGAATAATGCATCCGTATAGTGTCATCCATTGCATCCGTCGTTCGCAGTGTATCACCAGCATTCTATGTAGACTGGAATTCATGACCAACTAGTGATATCTCGGTTTCACTCTTTTTGTGGTGTCCGTAATGGTCCCGAAACGGAGCTCCAAAACGACATTGCCGGACACCACATATTTTAGTGCATGAGATCATGTCAAAGACATGATTCTAGGAATCCGGCTTGCTTGAACTGACACATAGAATGTCCACTTGTTTTATCTAGTTAAATCCTCCAGCAGGTTGGGTCCAACAAGTAAAATCCCAAACCTTAACGTTTGGCTCAAGATCGCATTGCAAAACGGACGCTCATTATCTTTTCGCGGCGGGCTTGAACCGTCAGATTTGGGTGATAGCTTACGTTCTCATATATGTACATTGACATGTATATGTATATATACATATATATAATATATATTAACCCTAAAGGTGTGTCCAATGGATTCCAATGTGTTCGATGTCGTGTCTCTTACCTCTACTTGTTCCCACTGTCCCCGGTCTCTTGTCCCCTGTCCCCTGTCCGCCCCTAAAAAAATTAACCCTAAGGTCTGTATCCAATGGAGTTAACCCTGAAGGTTGAAGTCCACATTTCAAAATGTCGTTCTAAGTGAGTGAAAAAGTCGTCCTAAGTGATCCTTTGACCATTTGCATATATTTGCTACAGAGTTGCCATGTCTTCCTGCCATTTTTATCAAAAATCCATGGGTTTCCGGTGAATTTTCAGCGGTGCAGGTGGTTGGACTTCAACACCACTGACGAAGTCAATGCGGGGCCTGGGGCCATGTCATATGTATGACCATTGGGAGATTGGTGGCTGGGTACTACAATTTTATCGGCATGTGTGTGTATACATATATACCATATATATATATATATATGCATACATGTTATGTTTACATATATCTATAGTATAATATACAATATTCTATGCGCATGCATATTTATACGGGGATATCATGGGGATCTAATGGAGATCCAAGCAAACAATTGGTGTTTGGGTGCGGTGGAACATGGATTATTATATCACTTATCACCCTCTTGTGGTCATTTAAAGATATTTTATGAGGAAACGTGATGATAAAGCAGTGGATGGAATGGAGTACCAGGTACATGGGCGACCCTATTTTCAGAGGAATGCAGTGGATATTTCTAAGCATATAGATACAAACTATAGTACGGGAAACATCCCAAAATCGGGGAAACTTCAAATTTGGGAATTCTTGTAATTAGCCTTGATACTTTGATGACTGCCGCGACGATCGCAGTTAGCAAATGGTTGGCCACCAAGATCTACCAAACCCTCAATATTTCAGGTTGTCCATCCATCAACATATGGCTATGAGTCATAACCCTGGTACCTAGTGAACCACAAAACAGCTGGTAAATGGATGTTCATCCCATTAAAATTGATACTAATAGGTTTTGACCCATCCCCATATATCAAGAGGGTAACAGCAAGAACGTGTTTTATCAGTTTGACAACTGGATGGTCTCCCCTTTGGCGCAATGTCTGCTTGAACCCCCAGTGTCACTACGTAGTGGGGCGTGAGGAACGGTGGAACTGAATGCACTTGAAAATGTACCCAGATTCAAGCTGAAGATATAGTTGAAGCAGGTTTGATAGAGGAACTGGGCGTAGAAAGCGCCCGTTTTCTTGAAGCTGTTCAGTATAGAGAGGAGAAAGATCAGAGTGCAAGTCTTCATTGAATCTTGCATTCCCCATTGCCAAGGGCCAAACAATTGCCCCAGAAAATGACCCCACAGGTTTTTTTTCCTAATTGTGATGCTCAAAATATGATTGAACTTGTTCGTATGACTTTTGGTATGAGTTAAGAACAAAATTATCACATTGAAATACGCTTACCTAAGCAATGCACCATTTTTGCAGCTTTAGGATGCTTTGTCGCTTCATTTTTGCGCCATACATCAACAAATGAAAACCGCAAACACATATAGACACACAGGCAATTAGATACAGGTGTGTACAATATGTAAACCTACATATATATATATATATATATCTACATCAAATCAAACTTTTCAGGAATAGTCTGCTATCTCGGCCATTTCAATCTCGATTTCACACTTTTCTGACTCGACGTCCGCCCATGGCAGTGGACATCCCCGCGCTGCGCCGGCGCCTGGCCGCCCCGGGGCGCCCGGACGAAGGGATGCGCGGCACCGCGGCCGATGCGGCGCGGCGTGGCGTCGTGGCGGCGCCGGAGCTGCGCGTGGCGCTGGCGGAGGCGCTGCGGACGGAGCCGGAGGATGCGGCGGCGGCGGTGAGGAGCGGCCTGCGGTGCCGATTCCTGGGTTCATGAGGGATGGGTGTCATGTCAGAATCGAGAGAACATATGTGCAACAGAACTGGTGATATTGCAAGCAATCAAGGAATCAAGGAACGCAGCAAGCAAAATTCGTGACTTCACATGGTTTTTATCGGCAGAATTTGGAGGTGACCAATCCACCACCATCTGCCCCAGGAGCTGCTTGATGGGCCCTGCCGAAGCCGAAGCCCTTGGCCCCGTGGTGGCGGTCCCCCTGTGCCAGGCCCTGGCAGCTGCCAGCGCCAGCAGCACCAGGGCCTGGATCCTTTTTGCCTTGGTGCGGCTGGCGCAGTTCAGCAGCTGCCACCAGCAGCTCTTGGACGCTGGGCTGGTGGACCAGCTGACGTCGACGGCAGAGCCGGGAGAGGGTGAAACTGGACCAGTGGAAGGGCCGGGGTGCTGTGGTTGCTGGTGGGTGAGTTTTGAAGGTGATTGGGGGTGTTTTGAATTGGTCTTGAACTTGGAGGTGCTCAACAACCTATCCAACTGCTCAGTTTTTTGAGTCTGTTGGTGGAGCGCTTTTCTGGAATTTGGTTTTGTTTCGATATGCAATTGGTGGCCTCTCTGCTGGGTTCTTCGCAAAGGAAAGGCCAGACGTGCTGGCCTACCACATCATGGCCTTTATATCTGAGACTGGTGGCTGCGAAGTAGCCGAGCTGGTGCCCGTGCAGGCCATCAATGAGTTTGACAGCTGCCATTTGCTTCAGTCTTGGGGAAAAGGTAGGGTCCATGCACGCGCATACACAACTAGATTTCTTGGCTCCTTTTTTTTGGCACTTCCCAATTCCTGCCGATCAAATTCACAATTTTTGCCAATCTAATTCACAAACGTTGGAACCCGACGATTTCTATGGGCAAAGTTCCCAGGCCAACCTGTCACCCGAGGAACGTGCCCTGGCAGTGCGGCTGCAGCTCTCAGAGGCGAAGGCCGTGGTGGAGCGGAAGAGCTTCTACGGCTTTCCCTTGTACTACCGTCCCCGGTTCATTCTGCCGCTGTGGCCGTGAAAACCCTGGCAGGTGAATGGAAGTGAGTGGTAGTTTAGTTGATGGAATTCATTTTTATATCAAGCAATGGGCATGGGCAATAACGACCCAGTTGATATATATATATATATAATAATAATGATAATAATAATAGTAGTAATAATAATTGCTCCCTGAACTAGTGATGATTCTAAATATTTCTAAATCATACACTGTACACCTCCCCACCAATCAACTTGGGTCTTCTTTGGTCCACCGGCACGCTGCGCTAGACGGGACGAACTTTCAGTGACAGCCCAACCACCGTACGCAACAACTCATCACGGATGGAAACAGACAGCTGAGGCAAGCGATAGCTGCACTTTGCAAGGTGTCAGCGAGGCAGCTGGTGCTTTGTTGCTGGGGTCCAAACTTAGTTGCACCAATCACCCCAGCAGTTGAAGGGCAGTGAGCCCCCCGCTGTTTGGGGATATTTCCTGTATGTTTTGAACCCGGAGGTGCTGACTGGTGACAGCAGCGGTTTCAAGTCAGATAATTACAAGTTGAATCACCGTCCCAGTTTTCAGGAGGGTTGCGCGTTTAACGCTGAAACCACAGACTGAGTCAAGCCAGGCACGCGCACTACGTTCAGCACTCCTCCAACATTCCGGACATCGTTCGAAAGCTGCAAGCAGGATGGGCTTGATGGGTGTGGCCTGGGTGGCCCACAGACGAGTGGCTTTGGGTGGCCACCAAGTTCAGAGGCACTGGGGAAGTATACTGCAAATCCAGCCCCGGATGTAAACTGTTGGGTTGTTTAATTTGGTATTGCATTTTCATGCATTTTCAATGGAACAATCTCACTTCTTGAGGGCGACAGTGTATCAATCCAGGTTGGAACCATGCATGTTTCCTTCCTTCGCTCTTGGCCAAAGATGAGTGCCATTGCAGGAGAATTCTGCAACGACAGTGAGGACAATGTTCCCTATGGCAGTCCTGATGCCATCGAGATGTGTGAGGTTTTATCCCAAGCACTGCAGATGCATCAGTTGCAAGATGAATGTCTGGTCTCGGGCACAGTTCCAAGCCTTCCAAGCCCATGAGCAGGTGGGTTTGTCTGGAAAAATAGGGTACCCAGGGTACCCCCAACATCCCCCAACTAACCCATGGATTATCATGGATTATCATGGATTATCATCCTTTTCTCCATTCAAGTGCGGCCATAAGCTGGGGGTATACCCCATGATCCAAATAGTGCAAGCGCCAGCGCTCAGATTTCCAACGGTCCAACCCAACCAGGTCAAAGGTGAGGCCGGAAACAACCAAGCTGCGCCTGCTTGTGAGATGAAAAATTGTTTGGGTGCACACATAACTGGGAATTAGTTGACTGTAGTCATATATAATATATAATAGAATAATATAATATAAAATAGATAAATAGATAAATAAACAAATGAATAAATAAATAAATAAATATATATATATATGTAAACATACGTATATGTACACAGAATACATACATACATACATACATACATACATACATGCATGCATGCATGCATGCATACATGCATATGTGCATACGTACGTGCATACGTACATACGTACGTACATACGTACATACGTACATACGTACATACGTACATACGTACATACGTACATACGTACATACGTACATACATACATACATACATACATACATACGATAAATAAATAATTAAATGAATAAATCAATAGATAAATAAATGAATAACATTATATATATGTGTATCTATATTGAAGTGGTTTAGTATCGTGTCTTTTTATAGTCCTTAAGGCTTGCTTTCAGATCTACAGGACTCCTTAGGTCATTGATGAGCTCAGGTGCCCAGTGGGCAGCGGCCTTTAAAATTTGGCCCACACAAAGAGGACCCCCCACGTAAAAAAAGTTGCATCAACCCATCCACTGGCAGATATATCTACCGCAACTCCCAGTGATACGAGATCATGTGGTAAACCCCCAAATCCCAAAACAACGAGCCACAAAAAAACCATGAACGGGTCGTAAAAACCATCAGGTCCTCAAATGGTAGTTGTTCAATGTTGACAGCGGGAAAACCACCAGACATTTCCACTGAAACCAGGGCCCACAGCGCCCTGGCCGAGGTTGGACCACGCGCTTCGCAAAGACTCCGAGGCGCAGTGGGTCATCTGCGCCTCCGAAAACGAAGTCTGCCAGTGCAACAGTGGCCATGTGCCTTGGCAGAAAGCCATCGTGGATGGATATCCATTGGAAGTATAGTAATACGAAGATATGTTCCATCTATGTGATAAGATCTTTGTCATACTATATATATATAATATATATATTTAAAGAAAGCAACAAGTTGGCTTGTTTTCCAGCACATGGATTTGTGCGATGTCAGAGGCATATATATATAAAATATATATACACATGGTTGGAAATCATGGTTTAGCACATTATGTCCTATAAAATTCCAATGCACTATTCAATCATGTGGTAAACCAAATCGGAAACTTACCATTTGGCATAGTGGGGGTGAAACACCACCCATCTATGGAAATATTGGGGGTGGTTTATTATTGGGTTAACCACTCTATAGTAGTTAGATGTAATTCCTTATTAGTTTGATGTAACTACTTAGATTAGATATTATACTACGATAATTGTGAAGCATTTGGTGCGGTTTCAAAAACTGTGAGGTTTGGGATTTGGGCCACATGAAATGGGGATTCTAAACGCACCGGCTGGCTACCTGAGCTTCGCTATCTGGGAGAGATTCTGGACATGTCATGGCTTTTGCATCCAATTAAGATGCAAAAAGCCCCAAGTGGGGGCTGAAGTATGGTAAGAAACCTATGTACCCTAACAAATTGGATGGATTGAAACCCATTCAAACTCGCACAACATCCGGTTTTTTAGGTCACTTGGGCTAATTTTGAGCCATGCCTGTATCTTTGATGTTTCATGATGTTTCTTAGCTTGGTTGAAACCACAAACCCTTCAAACATTCAAGTCACACGTCGGTGAGGTGCGCTATGGAACCTTTAACAAAGGATGGGTGACCAAGAAGAACAAGGCGGGACCCACATGGGCACCTGCGCCTCACCAAGACTTCCGTCATTGCAATCTTCACCTTGTTTCCAATCCTGGGTAAACTTTGTTTTGATTGGTTGTTCTGGTTCAAGTTCTTGCGACTTCGTTGGAGGAATATATCTAATTGTATCTATCTATCTATCTATCTAAATCTAAATCTAAATCTAAATCTAAATCTGAATCTAAATCTAATCTAATCTAATCGTAATCTTAATCTTAATCTTAATCTATTCGAATCTAATCTAATCTACTCTAATCTACTCTAATCTACTCTAATCTACTCTAATCTACTCTAATCTACTCTAATCTACTCGAATCTACTCTAAGCTACTCTAATCTACTCTAATCTACTCTAATCTACTCTAATCTACTCTAATCTACTCTAATCTACTCTAATCTACTCTAATCTACTCTAATCTACTCTAATCTACTCTAATCTACTCTAATCTACTCTAATCTACTCTAATCTACTCTAATCTAATCTAATCTAATCTATCCATCTATCCATCTATCCATCTATCCATCTATCCATCTATCCATCTATCCATCTATCCATCCATCCATCCATCCATCGATCTATCTATCTATCTATCTAACTATCTTTTCTATCTATCTATCTATCGATCTATCTATCTATCTATCTAATCTATCTGATCTATCTATCTAATCTATCTATCTAATCTATCTATCTAATCTATCTATCTAATCTATCTATCTAATCTATCTATCTAATCTATCTATCTAATCTATCTATCTAATCTATCTATCTAATCTATCTATCTAATCTA